CACATTTCTACATTTACAAGATGTCTGAAAAATGTGACATAACAGCTGTTTGTTAGACGTCCGTACAGAACGTCTGCTTCAGTCGTGTCAGGTGTTGTGCTGCACAACTCAACCGTCTCTTTGTGCTTGTGTTGCTTTGATGTTACTAAACACAAAGCTGGTTAGCGTGTTCCTGTACGCCCGATACTAAAAGTGCATTTGAATTTGAGTTGATTGTTTGTGTAGGCTGCAGTAATTACGGTTTGGTAAATGTAATGGCATGATTTGATTTCTGAGTGCTGCTGTTATGTGTGCGACCATATCTACGGGTAGCTATTATTGGCAGTAGGGGCTCTCTGGGGTTATTGCAGCGTCCTTTGCTATTTCTGAGTGCGAATGTAGAGTCTATTTTCAAGGTTGCCATGGAAACCATTGTATTTGTGGTGGCAGTGATTGGTGCTGCCGGCCGAGCAAGACTCTGCTATTTTTGTCATGAGTCAACACCTGATTCGCGCGCTCACACACACACTCACACACACACTCGCACACACACACACACTCGACTGTACATGTCTGAATACAGATGCAAACAGACGGCCACACTCGCACATTGCATCAAACCACAGCACATACCTGCGACGTTGTTTCACTCACATGGAGCCCTTGAGAAGCTTCATGTGCTACACAAGCATGTGTACGTTTTCCCATCGTTCCTTTTAGTGTTACCAGACATCTTGATACATCTTCACCATGACAACAGTAGTAAGCGCTGTCTATTAAATCTCTCCACCCAACTGCATCATGTTTTCTGATGCTCCGCTATGCAGTTTCATATCTGAAGCAGATGATGTCAGCTGCTGATCAGTCCTTTATTTAACTTACACAAACATTAATGCTTCTCTGCTGCTGTGGGGTACGATGCTTGAAGGTGAATTGCATTTGAACTGTGAGATTGAACAAAAAGAAAATCCTGAAATAATCATTTACATGCTGAACAAAGGCGCGGTGACAAGTAGCAGAGCTGCAACTATTGTCTGTTTTTTTTGGCATTTTAGTCTGAAAAATGACTCACAATTAATTGCAGATTCACTTTTTGCTAACAGATTAATTAAATGATTTCAGCTATAGTTTGTGATATGCAGAAAGCATTATCGTAATCTGGCAAATAAAAATAAAAAAAGATGTTTCTGTAGCTGCTGTCGAGGCTTTTGTTGGGTAGCTGGCGTGATGAACCTGTGACAGTCATGTTCATTGTAACTGCATGTACTGTTCCTGGCACACTAAGTGCACTGATATGTGGGATGAGAGCAACAAACTGTGTAATATTTCAACCAGAAGACCTCAATTCTCACAGTGACTTAACCAGCGGCATTATCATAACAAGCCTATTAGTGGACTACATTAATCAATCAATGCATGAGAGGTGCTACAAATTAAAACGTGCTTTTAGATGCTCAAAGAGGTGGAAAGTGCGATTTCCATGAAATGCAAATGTGCGTATTATCACGGGGAAGCTTACAAATGCAAATGACAGCCACCCAGACCTCAGCAGCTTCACGTCCACTCCTTCAGTAAAGTAGCCTTATCCATAATAGCCCAGATTTCATTGTCCTCTGCAGACAGAGCAATGAGATGGACTGTATGTGGAAAAGATCACCGTGGCAACAGGAGCCCCAGTTTGAGAAGCTGGGATGGTGGAGGCTGAGGCCTGGCCTAATCAATGCCTCACTGTCTCAGTAAATCTTGCAGTGGAGGGCACTTTAATCCATGAAATTACTACGCAAATCATTACTGACCGACAAAAATAAATACACCGGTGGAGGAGCAAGAAATAAGGGATTAGATGTGGCGGAAAGGCACACGTGTTGAACACATGCATGGATTTATGAACACCAGCAGGTCAACTGGAGGTCATCCAGTCAAACCTGCTCCATGAAGCCGCAACACCGACGACACAACAGGAAATATATGCTTTGGGATGGATGGAAAATAAGAGTGCATCTTTACTATTCTGTTATCACAATAGTAGGGGATGAAAAAATGTGATATTTACCCAATTAAATCAACCCATAATTCTCAGAGGGGCAGCTTTAAAGCTTAGCTTGTTACACTAGGTTTAGATTTCAAGTGTACGGTCGAAAAACAGGTACGCAAACACACTTAATGTCAAGTTTTGTGTTTGTATTTAAACATTTCACCTTTTTTTTATGTGATTTTTTTTAAATCACTTTGCTACTGTTGTATGATGATATTCCAAATTTATGCAAAAAGTCAAAGTCTGGGAGATCTGTTTTATTTTTGTTTTCAGGGGATCATGAATATCTTTATCAAAATGTGTCCTTCCATCTCAAATCATGAAACGTTTAGAACAATATTTTGTCCGAGCATCTCTGAACTGAACGCAGTCTTTACAGCATAAAATGTGGATACCATTCTGGAAGTCTGTTCTACCAGAATTTGACTATCTAACAATATTTTTTTGTTTCTGTGAAAGTTCAACAAAACATTTCACATTAAAAAAGTATCCCATAGGTTTTATTGTGTATGACTGGGGCATGTAAATATCACTTTTTGACTTTTGCACTTTCCATTTTTTTATGTGCTCAAAGACGAGACTTCATTTTTTTCCCCCCATTCTTCAGCTCACCTGTAACCAGAGACCATTTGATCTGCTGTCCAGTGTTGCAGCCTCTGAATCGGTGACATAATGTGAAATACTGGTGAAGTTTTCAGTTCTTTATCTTTAATACTTCCTGAGAATATTGTCCTTCAGCGGGGCTTAAAATAGCAATGCGCAAAAAATGTGCTGAAAGGGGTTTGACAGGCAGTTAAAAAAAAAAAAAAAAGAAGAAGAATCTCACTAAGCACTTCTTATATCAAGCTAAAATTTGCCTTCAGAAATATCTGTATTTGATGCACAGAAAATGTTAGCAAATCAGTCTAGCAGAAGGCTTCTGACGATTTGAGATGAAACCTCCCGTATACTGTCACAGCCTGCCAGCACTGCTTTAAAAATCTATATTCATAATGCAGCTCCATACATTGCCTACATCTCTCCAGCACACTCACATCCTATTTTGTGAGGGTACCGTTTGACGGAACGGTGAGGACACTAGGACCCTGTGGAGACGGCGGCTCCGGTCCTGTTTCTGGCTGCCTCCTGCTCCATCTCTGCGGTCACTGTGTGTGAGTGGAGGGGGAAAGCAGAGAGTGAGCTGGTGTCTTTGCAAGCATTTACATCAGCATCGCTTCAGAAAAACCTCTGCTGCCACAGCTGTAGTCATCCAGGGAGAAGGATGCACAGGGCAGATCAAGGGATGGGAAAAGAAACAGGCTCTTACAGTGGGAAGTACCTCAACAGCATTTACAAGGTACAGTGATTGATTTCCACTGTGTACCTCAGCAGTGGGAGCTTAACCAGGTTTTCATCCTCAGAGACCAAAGCAGCAGACAGCTGCATCAGGAAATACTCTGATTCAGGTACATAATGCTCTCTGCCTTGTTCTGTCTCTGCTTCTTCCCATCACATTTCCTGATCCTCTCCACATTTTCTTGCTTGTTCTCTCCCTCTTCCTCTAATCTGCTTATTATATACTGCTGAGTGCAACAAATACATGTTTGACAACTGTGTTCTGATACATAGAATGTGGGCCTTGCTTTATGCAATGGGTGTAATGCATTAAGGATTAATATATAAATGAGTAGGCGGTAAGATGTGACCAAATCGGGCAGCAGGATGAAACTGAATTGGGAGTACCCCTTGTGTGATACACAGACGTTGCTCAGTGAGGGCAATCATTCATGGGCGATGAGAGAGGTTAGAGCTCAGTTTTTTCTAGCCGGACTTGTATTACTACCACTGTAGACAGGAGACAGAACATCCTGGGCTTTTGCTACATCTGTGGCACACAGCATTCATGGCAGCAGGCAACTGGATTTTCTTGATCTGACACATTCACACAGCAGCAGCCAACCATGTCTGTTTGTTGTCTGTAATAGCTATGCACAGTTAATATGCAGACTGCCTCTGCAACCTATGAACACCCTCAGGTTCTCCATTTGGAACAGTAAATTCATTCATACTAAGTGGTCAGAGATTCCTCAGCGGCAGACATCATATTCTGGTGCATGTGCACAAGCAGAAATCCTACAGCACACTGAATGTCAGACACACACACTGGGCCACAGCTTGACGAGGCCTTCCAGGACCTGGGACTGTATTGTTGTTAGACAAGGTATCCATGCACATTCAGTTTGGGCGTGCATACTCAACAAGAGCTCATACAGCAGCTGTAGATATGATGTAAAGGTGCTATTACCTATTCGCTGACAGGATTGGTTTTGGTGAATTAGCTCTTGCATTCATGCATTGACAGGATGTGTGCTTGAGAAGTACTCATCACCTGCAGCTTCCAGGAAAAGACCAGACTCAATTGATCTCTTACCGGAATATTAATAAAAAAAAAATCTGAACATGTTTTCTAAAATCCTCTGGTTGTATTTTTCCCAGATGATCAGTGTAGTCACACACATCTGCTTTGTTTTTGTGGCTCATTTCTGTTGCATTTAATTTTGTAAAATTCATTTTACTTCGTTCCTGCAGCATGTTGCTTAAAAAGAGTCCATGCTTTGAATAACGCATACTTCACTGACTTGACTTTGGATTATCAGTAAAATTGTCTCCAGTGAGATTTGAGGAGCTCGGGAGGATTTTAGAAAACTCTGAGTGACTGATAGCAGCTCGGGCTAAAGTGTAACTGAGCTGATGATGGGAAGGTTTAGTTCATTTAACATACGCTCACAACTTACTGCCCTCTGTTCTTCCCTCTCTGTCTTAGGGCGGGTTGTGACCGATGGCATAAAGTCTGAACCTCCTGACGATCGCAGCATCATCTTCTGGACTACAAAGCAGCTTCTGACCTAATTTTCAAGCCACTGTTTTCTGGCCGCACTTCCTGGCTTTGAAGAATGGGTGATGGGCCTGTGACTGATCCTGCCTGCCTGCCTTGTCCCGCCCTTCAATGGAGCCGATGTGGAACTCCTCCCACACACCTCCACAGCCCACATCCAACATGTCTGCCTCCTCTCTGCCCGAGGGCTGGGCTCTGTCCCAGTCGCTAGCCCTGCTGGCGATGCTGCTCATGGATCTGCTGGCTGTGGTGGGTAACGTGGCTGTCATGGCGGTCATTGCCAAGGCCCCACAGCTCCACAAGTTTGCCTTCGTCTTCCACCTGTGTGTGGTGGACCTGCTGGCAGCCCTGGTGCTGATGCCCCTTGGCATGCTCTCAAGCCGAGCCTTCTTCGGGGAGGCCCTGTGCCGGAGCTACCTCTTTCTCAGCGTGTGCCTCGTCAGTGCTGCCATCCTCTCCATCTCCGTCATAAACGTGGAGCGTTATTACTACATCATACACCCGATGCGCTATGAAGTAAAGATGACTGTTGGCCTGGTGGCTTCAGTGCTCGTGGGGATATGGGTCAAAGCTCTGGCCATGTCTGCTCTGCCGCTGCTCGCTTGGTTCCTGCAAGGCGGAAGAACTCCTCTTCTGGAGAGCAGCGGGGTCGGGGGAGGAGGTGGCGGCGGCGTCCCATCTCCCCCGGCTCAGGGTCACAGGCGCTGCTCGCTGCACTGGACAGGGGGAGGGTCGAACCGCTTGGCCTTCATGGTCCTCTTCACGCTGGTGTATTTCCTGTGTCCGCTGATGGTCATTCTGGTCGTGTACTGCAACATGTTCAAGGTGGCCCGGGTAGCTGCCATGCACCACGGCCCCCTGCCCACCTGGATGGACACGCCGCGGCGCCAGCGGTCGGAGTCGCTCAGCAGCCGCTCCACGATGGTTACCAGCTCCGGGACGGGGACCGGGACGGGCAGGGCGACTCCACAGCGCCCCTTTGGGGGAGGGAAGGCCGCAGCAGTGTTGGCAGCTGTGGGTGGGCAATTCCTCTGCTGCTGGCTCCCCTACTTTACTTTCCACCTGTACTCAGCGCTGGCCGCCAGCCCTCCAGCCACACTGGCCTCTCTGGAGGAGGTGGTCACCTGGATCGGCTACTTCTGCTTCACCTCCAACCCCTTTTTCTACGGCTGTCTCAACAGACAGATCCGGGAGGAGCTGGGCAAGCACCTGCCTTGTTTGTTTCGTCGAGCAGGGGTTGAGGTGGAGGACAGGCTGCCCAGCCGGGAAGGATCCATAGAGGAGAATTTCCTTCAGTTTCTTCAGGGCACCGGCTGCAACTTGGATCCTCAGAACTCTCACAGCACTTCCAGTCCGAAGGGGGAGGCGTGCTGTCCCGTGGCTCAGCCCCAGCCAGCAGAGCCAGCGCAGCCCATTCCCATTGATTTCCGTATCCCTGGACAAATTGCAGAGGAGACTTCAGAGTTTATGGAGATTGAACAGGCGAAAAACAACCATATATATACAGACAACTAAGCTTTTCTTTTCTTTATATTCTAAAAAAAAAAAAAAACTTTGAAGATATAAAGTGTTTCAGGAAAACATGTTTCTTTGTTTCTGTTGAAAGCTGATTTAAAATGACTTTAAATTGTATCTTTGAATCTTCATTGCACTTTGCCTCATCCGTTTTCATCCCAGTCTTTGAAAACAGTCATGGTGAAGCAGATGAATGCAGCTGTCTGGGATGCATTTCAAACTGTTGCTTGTAAACAGGGAAATTATTGCTAGATTTAAAAAAATGAAAAGAAAAAAAAAGGCTGTATTTTGGCCTGCCACACAACCACTCAGCTATGTACAGTAAATAACTCAGTGAATTAATATTGATGTGACTTGTTAAAGCCTTTTTAAAGATGAAAAAAAAAAAACATTAATTAGGTGTTGGGTTGTAGGAAGGGAAGTGAACAGCTGGAACAGACTGGTGTCCTCTAAAGTAACAGTTATGCTCTGCTATTGGATAAAAAAAAAGACGATTAAACTGTTTCACAAACCAACTTTGCTCAATTATTTTTAAAACATGAGTTACTGCACATTAAGTCAAAGAAGACAGCAATAAAATACAAAAAGTATTTTGGAACTCTATGGAGGGAAAAGTCCTTCTGTCACCTTTGATGAGTCGATGGTTCCCACTCTTAAGGTCAGACTTGTGTTTTTCAGTTAGGAGGTGTACATACTGTGGCCTAGCCTCTCATGGAAGTTGTTTACAGATGAACTTTCTTCGGTGCTCGTCCAAACACATCCTGTTTTTTTAAAATTTCCGATAAACAAGTCAGACTTCATGTCGACTTCATAACTCATCACCCAGCTTTCCGCCATGTGCTGTACTTATCAGCGTATTTGGATATACATCTTTAAAAATCAGTGTTCTCCTGATGCACTGCATTACATTCAAATTTCTATTTCTTACATTGTTTAACGTACTAAACTGTATTTTTTTTTTATTGATGAGTAAAAGGCCGACGTATTCTGACATGTACGCCACCTTTTGTCATTTTATTTTTTTTTTCAACAGCAGAGATTTTTATTCCAAAGGAGAATCCATGTCGATCGTTTTATCCTGTCCGTCAGGGGTTTTAACGGTACCTCAGTGCAGGAGGTATATTATTTTAAGGTCACACATGCAGTTCCATGTCAAGTCTGATCCCTGCACAGTGTTTTAATGTTTTAAGGCCGACAAGATTTGCTTGTTGAGGTTTTATTAGAGACAAGAGTGGATATTTTGTTAAGTTTTTCAGCTTGTTGATGAGATGAAATTGTATTTTATAGAATAACTGTTAGGGAGAAATATGCTAAACCATGTGTGGAAATGCTTGACTGAAAACAAGGGTCTTTCTTACATAACGAGGACACAGGGTTTTTAACGACACTTTTCAGCGCCGATCCACAATCAATAGCTTGCCGAGCTTGACATCCTCTTTTCATGCCGTCTGAACACCCCAAACTGTGAACGATGTTGAACGTCTGTGTTACGATTTCCACCTGTTCAGAGGTCGTTTTTTTTTAATGCTGTGATTAAAATAAAGAATGACTTCCACTGTACTGCAATCATATGAATGTGGTTAGAGAGGAGAAAAAAAAATAAAAACACGGCTAAAACTTGAGCGAGAGATACCGTTGTAATAAAGAGTTTCTATGTTTGTAAAACACTTTGGATGCGTTCTCATGCTTTTACCTACAATCCAGGGCTCCGGCTTTACTTTATGCTTCGTATTTATGATCTTTGTTTATTCACATTAACATCTTGCTGCTCAGTTATTGCATTTTTATTGCACTTATTGAATGTGTGTGCCTTATTTTCTATATATCACATCACAGTTCAAACTCTTTGACCTCAAGGTAATATTTAGACCTCATAGATAGATAGATAGATAGATAGATAGATAGATAGATAGATAGATAGATGGATAGATAGATAGAAATAGAAAGATGCTCAGTCTAAATAAATCCATCCTTTGACTGTTTCAGTTGGAAGATGCTGGTGTGCGACAGGCCTCACACCTCAGTGATGGACCTCAGTCAAACCGCCCCCAGCTTCGGCAGGCTCTGCCATCCCCATGGCAATTATTGCCCAGTGACATTTCTCCGTGTTGTGGTGGGCGGTGGGAGGAGCGTGCTCTATTGGGAATCCAGCGAGACCCCCTTTTTTCTGTGACTTCTTAAAATATATTCTCCAGACTAAACCAGAGCTGACATTTGCTTTTGTTGCCTTATCACAATCTTACGAGCGAACATGTGACTATTTCTTACTCTAATAACACGATTTTGCTGTATGTTTAAAATTCCCTGTGATTATTTCTGTGCTGTCTTTAATTGGTGCACCTTAATAATTTTAGCTCATACATAAAAATACAAATATTACACACACCAGGCCGTATAATCATTTAAATTCAACATGTATTTCTTTCCCCATATTTCGTGAAATGTTTCCACACACACGTTTAGTTAATAGAAATCATTATTGTTGGATTTACGCTAAAAGAACGTGAAGCTTAGACTCAGTTTGTTCTGTAAAAATGGACACCCTGCTGTTCCCTCAAAGCATTATTTAAGTTATAATTATCGTGTTTAAAGGAAAATATTACCACAGAACAAACCCCAAAAAGCTGCCGCCAGATGTTTCTGCGTCACTGCTTATCAAGATGAAGCAGAAGCAGATGGATAAGAGTGTTGCGGCTACATTCTGGGGCAGAAACAGACAAAGAACAACAAAAAACCAACACGTCTTAGGAAATAAAAATGCAATTGAAAGTGAAAATACGTCCCAGTTTTCATGGATAACTTCATGAAGCATGTGTGCTCCTTCAAATATACACGTGTGCGCTTGTATGACTACAAATGAAGGGACAAAACAAGTACAGCAACACTGGTGAGAAAATTAATCATCGTCCCAAAATAATCAGCTGTGGGTGAGTTGATCAGCTGACTAAAATAGGAGCGTCTACAGAATCAGTAAACATCGCTTGCAAATCATTTTACATCAGGATCGACCAGACTGCTACGAGTCCTATATGTTGGTTTTAATAACGGCCAAAGGTTTGAGTGACTCACCGTTAACGTAACGTTGGACTTCAGTCTGGAAAGCCCTGAGTCAGCCAGAAGTGTACGGCCCTGTTCCTTTTTTATTTTAACTAGATATGTAAGGCGGTCTTCCTGTTTGCTTTTTGTCCTTTAATCATATAAACCTTAGTAAACAGGGCTTTGTAAAGGATGAGAGCACTTTAAAGGACTAGCAAGCTGTAGAAGGTACAACATCTAATGCACTTTTCAAACACTGCTGTGTATTGTGCTAATAGGATTTGGTCAGTAGTACTTCAATTAGATAGAATTCTGCGATTCTTTGTTCATTGAAATGTTCATTTTCTACAAATACTTAAGTGGGAAATGCTGCACTTTGTACTTAACTTTATTTCCTAGACCTACAATTAAATGTGATTCACTGTTATGTAGAATGTAAGCAGCTAAAGTTAGCTCCACATAACATGAAGATATCTTGCCTGTGTGGCCGTTGTGTGATCAACCAAACCCAGACCGCTCGCTCCTCGGCTGGACCATCACAATAACAAGCTCCAGGAATTAGACGGAGACGGATGCAGCAGGCTGACCGTGTAACGTTGCACATTAACATAAAATATTCACACGTGTACCTGGTAACAGACACTGATGAAGGTCTCACAGCCACCGTCACAACAACAGCAGCAGTGGGTCCGATCTCCAACAACAAGGAGGACTATCTGATGGAGATCACCCACCTAGAAGACTGGTGCAGAGACAACAGCCTCCTCCTGAACGTCAGCCAGACCAATGAGCTGGTTGTGGACGACACCAAGACGAGGGCATCACACTCATTTAGGAGCGAGCGGAGAGCTTCAAGCAGCAGGATGTGACCTGACGTGGTCCTGTCACATCGACACCCTGATGAAGAAAGCCCGACAGCATCTCAGCCACCTCAGATCCATGAGGGACTTTAAGCTCCCTCTCAAGCTGCTCAGGAGCTTCTACACCTGCACCACTGAGAGCGTTCTGGCTGGGAACATCAGCACCTGGATGGGCAGCAGCACCCAGCAGGACTTCTGGGCCCTGAGGAGGGTGGTGTTGCAATGGGAAAAATACTGCATGAGGAATGTCAAAGCAAGTTTCATTAAAGCTGAGTGGAGAGGCTACAGGCCCAATGAGAGGAAACGTGTTTTCATAACATCTAGGTAAAAGATTAGTGACCGTACAGGAGGAAGAAGAGGTTGTTCATGGGAGGAAGATTATAGGAAACACAGCCTTGTTGCATCCAATGTGTTTAGTCTAATATCTGTGGATGAGTGCACCCTGTACCCTCAGCTGTTGATTATCAACCACGGGATTGTTCTACTACCATTGGAGTAAAGACCACGCCTGTACATGTATAAGAACACCACTATGCTGCCTGCACTCATGCGGACTCTCCTGCAGACTGCTTGCACTCTGTATGACCTGTACCTTCAAAGCTTTGAATAAAACAAGACAACTCTGACCTTATTAAGATCATAGCAAAAATATCCACAACAGTGTCAAGATTCCAATCTGGGCCGGCCCGGATCAGAATTTCAATCTGGGCCAGGTCGGGGTCAAGATTCCAGACTGGAATCCATCCGTTGGGAAAAAAAAAAGAAGACTCCATTCCAGGCTGGCCGAGAATGAATTCTAATCCGGGCCTTGACATATATGTGTTTAGTCTATATCATTTTTTATTTTATTAAATTTTATTTTTTGCACTAATTGACACTGATTTATTTTGCTTATTTCTATCTATCTATCTATTGTGTATTTTATTCTTTATTTTTTTTCCTTGTTTGGGTCTGGACCAGGTCTATAAAGCATCTCACTGCCTCTTACACCTGCATGATGTGTATAAATGTGATTGTGACCAATAAAGGCCTTGAATCCCAGTGAGCACTGACACGATGGGCAGCAAGTTAGGTTTTAATATGACAACACATCCTCAGACATTA